AGTAAGGGGAAAGTTTAAGAAAAATAATGATATATGAGGATGGGTTCATTCCAATTAGAATTAACCTCAGGAGATACTCAAAAATTAATACGAAGCAAGAAATGAAGATTAACGTCCGGTATGGGCAGGGTGGTGCAGGCCTGTAATAATCTCAGGGGGTGGAGAACAAGCCACCCCAGGTGTGAGCTGTGCCATCTGACCCAGGCTCTTGATTCTCCAGCTGTGAATCAGGGCCATCGTTCCGCCTCTGGCTCTTAGATCATCTGTCGCTTCGCCACCCCGCAGCTCTTCCACTAGCCTCCTGTCCAGACTCCTCTGTCTCCCTTGCTCTTGCTCAGATCCATTCTGCACAGGACCTACTGTTTACATTTGTTTCTTCATTCTTCATTGCCAGCTCCTGTCAGAAGTTGGCTGAAGTCACTTTGAAATGCCAAGACAAATGGGCCTGGGAAGAATTTGGAGACTCTATAACTGTATTCTTTCCTCATCTTGAAGGTGGGGACAGCAGCTGAGGACATATGTGGGAAGAGGGAGAGACTTTGTGGGGAGGGAATGCACGGCTGGCTCAGACCTCATCACTCGCCCTGTGTATACTGGTATAACCTTTTTGTTTGCTGCTCAGTGTCTCTTAGAAACTGTTCTAAATTTTTAAACCTGGAGGCATCTCCCCAGCCTCCTCATACGAACCATGTTTTGATCTCATTAGAGGCAAAACTTGGGTCTCCCTCTCAATGATTTTACATGAAGTGGCATCTGAGTCGCTTTTAGACCACATTCCACAGCAATCTACCCAGCCCTTCAGTGGATGGGCTGAGTCCTGTTGTCTTTCAACATATGCAACACTTACTGTTAGATAGCAAGAGTTTGGGACCAGTCAGGGAGTCTGATTAAGGCACAGGCAAAGAAGGCAGAAATGTAACAGGCCCTTCCAAAACAGCATGATCTGATAGGGGGGTCACGGGGGGGGCAGCTAGGGGTGGTTTAGGGAGCTTGCTAACAAAGTAAATGCATTTCTTTCCTATCACAGAGTAGGTCCGTGCTGATAACATTTGGCAAGTTTAACTAACAGGGAGCAGGGTAACTGAACAGATGGGGAACTATTAAAAGATTTGAGGGGCTTTCATCGTTCCTCAGATGGCCTTCACCCACCTACAAGACACCCAGTTCTCTTGCAAGAAGATTATGTAAAGGATTCAATTAAAATTTCTCCTTCCTTTTTTTTTCTTCAATTGCAATGGAATCAAAAAGCACTGACGTGAAGAGGAAAAGAATAGATGAGAAACTTCTAATTTTGCCTCCCCTTGGGATTAGATCCTACGTTCAGCTGCACACAGAGCCCTGTTCCATATTTTGAGAGTGGCTGTTGGCAGTTTCAGGAGCCCTGGGTTTCCAAAATAGACCGTGTGCTCCGCCTCCATTGCCGATGACTGACATTTGGATGCGAAGTGCAGAGGCATGTGGTTTGATGTATTTAACCTTGGTTTTGAAAAATGTGGTGGCCTGTCCTGGTATTTAAGCTGAAAATGTGTGGAAATGTGTTTTCCTCATTCCCCTGAGAACTGTGTAATATTTACCCATCTGAGGCAAAGAAATTCAGCCATGTTTGAGGGCAGCTGGGTCTGTGATTCAAAAGCTGTGTCTGCTTCTCTGCTCAGAACGATGCTTGAGAAGTTCCTAAGAATGAAAAGAGCCATAGGTCTTGGCTAAGGAAGACATGTTTTATTCCCTTTAGGACAACAGACTGATTTTTACCAATGGGTAGATAGAAACCTAGGTCTCATGGTCATGACTAGGTTAACCTGGGTTACATTCCTCAGAGGATTGGACATGTAAACCCCAGGATCGATAATGTTACCCTGCACACTCAATTAAATATGTGTTTTGATGCAAAATAAGATGGATGTGCCATCCCACTTTTAACATCAAAGCTTCATTCAGCTTCCATCCCCATTCCAACCCGAATAACGCACAATCTAAGATCCAGTCTCCAAAAACCAATCCAGCGAACACTGTCTCGTGTGTAAAAATTATCAGTAGCCTTCACAAGGAAAATAGTATTTTAAATTAAAATCACCACAATTCAGAATCATTGTAATTTAAAATAATTCCACAACAGAAACACTGGAAGAAGCTGATGATAATTAGCACCCACAGGTGATGGTGTCTCTCTTGTTAATGATGCAGTTTCATAAGCTCATAGCCCCATGCTGGGCTGTCTGGTTTCACACAATTGGGTAAACAAGGATTATCAGTGGTTTTGAGTTGTCTGGGGAATTATACTTTAACAGAAGAGTTATTGGAACTGGTAAAATGTGTTCCCACCACTTAGCAGAGTAAGAATTGGCAATATTAATTTTGAGTTCTGTGTTTGTGACTTTAAGTAAGTGTTGTACATGAATGATGTCATGTAATAAGGTTAGATGTATGCAGCTGAGCACCTGGGAATGATAGGAAGTTGGTAATGTTTGTATCTTGGGTTTTATACTACACAAAACATCCTTGAACTGAGCAGACAGTAAGCCCAATATAACTTGTGGTTTTCTTTATTTCAAGCGTAACCTTTTTCAGTTTCATGTATTTTCCTAATGGGGTAGAATATTCTTCAGATGACAAGCTACTCAGAGTGGTGGTTGTTTTTTCTCGTGTTCTTCAGTGGGACAGTGTGAGCTTGCTGATTCTCACTGGTGCTCACACAACCTCTGTTTATACCTGTGTCCTTCTAGAATGGCGGACATGCTGGGGCTTGTGGAGAGACTTGAACGCGCCGTCAGCCGGCTGGAGGGGCTGTCTGCAGGTTCACATGGGCCTCCTGGGGACTGTGGAGAAGTTAATGGTGTCAATGGAGGTAAGACCACACCCTGGCATCATGACTGATTTCTTTGTGGGTCAGATCCCATCTTCACCTTCTCCAAAATGTTTCTACCCTCTTCCTTCAGATCCGTCCTCTTTCCTAGGACCATAATGTTGACCTGAGACAACCAGTCCCTGAAAAAGAAAAGGAAGAGATGGTCTCTTTCCCCAGAAACACATACAAATTTTATGCACCAACTTAAAAAGTAAACTTGGAAAGTTCTAGCCCAGAATCCACAAAAACGACCAACATCTGTGCCTCTGAAGAGCATAAACCACATCAAAATGTCATTGCTTTGTTTTAAGTGTTAACTATATTATCAAAGTAATTCTCAAAGAAATAAATGAGTGTTCTCCACTAGAACGTGAAGTGGAAGGGCTTGCCATGCTGTGGGTTTTCCAAGTTATTGCTTTGGGCCCCGTGGCTTTGAAGGAAACTGCTCTCAGATGAAGCCAAATATAATTGATGGAGCACATTGTCGGATCTTCGACCATTTCTAACTAAACAGGCCTCTTGGTGGGGGGCAGTGCTGAGGATGGACCCCAGAGCTTGCCCAAGCTAAGCAAGTGCTGTGTCACTGAGCCCTATCCTCAGCCTCCACCAAATATGCTTTGAAAACTATAGCTAATATCATACTTTTTAAAAAGATTGTTTTGGGGTAGAGACGGCTCTGCAGCTCAAGGTGCGTGCCACACAACATCAGCAATATGAGTTCGATCCCCAGAGTGCACAGGAAGGTGGACGGAGAGAACTGACTCTATAAAGTCGTTCTCTGACCTCCACACATTCCCCACCCCTCATCACAAACTCAGCAGTCAAGAAAATACCCCACAGACATGGCCAGAGGCCAATTCAGTGCAGGCAGCTCCACAATTGAGGCCCCCTCTACCTAGGTATGTCAAGTTGACAGCTAAAGCTCTCCAGCACACACCCCAATATTATGCATACACGTATAGTTTTTTTAAAAGATTCTCAAAAATTATAGTGTCAAAAATAGAAAGTTAACTATTTTCCTTAAGAGGGTACCCTAGGCCAGGTATGGTTGTACGTACCAGTAATCCCAGAACTAGGAGGATCAGTTCAAAGCCAACCTTGGCTACATATAGATTTTGAGGCCAACCTGGGTTATATAAGATCCTGTCTCAAAAAAACACAAACGCAAAAATAAACAAGACAATAAAAAAACATGTACCCCATACAGCAAACTTCAAGTTATCTACAATAATTTTTTCCAGTTCCTTCTTGTGCTAGGTTGCAGTCTACAGTGAAAGCTATCCATTAAATTTGAATTTCAAATAAGGAACTCTGTTTTGTATGAATGTGCCCCAAATGCTGCATGGGCCATACTGCATGACACACAATTGTATTAAAAATGTATTCGTAGCTCATCTGAAATTCAGATTTAATGGGGAGACCTGTATTGAATAAGGAATTCAATCCCTGTCTGTGTGCATGCATATAGCTCCTCCTTATCTGACCTGCTTTAAACGCTGCCATCTTTGGAGGAGGTGAGGAAAGCCTTAGGTAAGGGGAAGAGCTTCAAAACCTCTTTTCTCCAGGAAAGACCTGCCTGGCTGCTCCTAGAGGCTCAGGTATTTTGGGAGCTGTACCTTGTTTAACATGCCACAGGACAGAAATTACTGCGTGAACTCAAATATGCCAGCCGTGTCTTTTCCCTTGAACATGATAAAAACCAAAGTACATTGAACAGATTGAAAGGGGATGTTGTTTAAAAGAAGTCTGCCTGGAGCCTGCAAAGGTTTTTTTCCCCTGAACCAGCTGAGATGTGTCTGTGGTTTCATTTTATGCCCTTTCTGTTAACTGTGAGGTTGGTATCGGGCCCTTATAAGGCTGATTCCTAAGGGAGTGCCTTCCCATTATCCCCAGTAACTGCGTTTCATTCTGCTTTTGATATCAACATCACTACAGACGTTTCTTTAAGGTGGCTGTCCACAGGAGTAAAAGCCTTTGAATACATAAAACAAAGTCAAAATCCTCCTTCCCAGGCGATAGCATGCATTGTTGAGTAAAAAGGGGGGGAAAATCAATAATTTGAATCTCACGTTTCAGAGAAGCAGTAGATAAACTCAAATGTGCTGTGCTTCACAGTACACAAATAGATGGAGCTATGTGTTTTCGTTATTAAAAGGAGAGGGCTGGAGAGATGGTTCAGCAGGACAAAGTGTACTTGCTCTATAAACAGGACAAGAGTCCAGATGTCTAGAACCCATATGAAAGCTGGCCTTGTAAACCCAGCCCTGGAGACAGAGACAGGATTCCCCAGAGCACGCTGCTAGCCAAAAGGGTGAGCTCTGGGTTCATCGAGAGACCTGTACTGATAGATAAGATGGAGAGTAGTCAACGAGGGCACTCGTCATCCTCAGACCTCCAAAAGCCCAGAACACCGTCCTTTCCCAAATGGGTTCATTCAGTCTGAAGCAGCGTCATTTTATCATTTTGCTGCTTCTTAGCGTTGGCAGTTTCCTAAATTCCATAGCCAACAAATCCTTAAGAAAAGCCTTTCAGCCAGACGTGGTGACACATACTGTTGTACTCTCAGCACTTGGGAGGCTGAAGCAGGAAGATTGTGTTTAAGGGCAATCTGGGCTCTGTGTGAGACTATTTCAAATAAATAAGTTCTCTTTCCCCCAACCATAAGCATCATACTGTTTCACACAGTGCTTTACTGTATTGTATAGTATATTAACTGAAGTTATTTCTTTTTTACTTTAAAGGAAACTGAGAAATAGATACCATCCATAGATCAAGGACTGGTCTATTCATGTTTTGTTTTGTTTTGTTCCCCCCCCCCCGACAATCAGAGAAGTTCAGCTCCATAGCTGAAGAAATCTTTTTGCATTCCTGCCCCATAACAAACAAGGTCCTAAGTGCAGGAGACCTCAGATGAATTATACAGGGTCCTAAGCCTCTGGCATTTTTGGTCTCCCTACATTACTATTCAGAGCCTCAGATACTTTGATTAAGAGAAGCTCAAAGGATGCAGTCTGGGGGAGGACAGATCATTAAAGGCTGCCCAGAGGAGGTGTGAGCAGAGCACGGGGATGAAAGGAAAAGGGAAGGTATTCTCTTTCATCATTTTACCTTCTGCTAGGGAACAGTGTCCATCACATTTCTGAAACTTTCTCCCACTTTAAATACCCAACAGAGACCTCGCACACCTCCTCCAAGTGACAAACAGGTTTATCTGTTTCCAGATGAATGCATAAGGGACTTGTGCCCTTTTATGTCACAGAAGTTGAAACCAGTAAATAGCAGGTTTGCTGAAATGTTTGACCTGAGGTGTGGGGAGCTGTCAGTCTCTCCTTGAGGCTGTAGAAATGGGCATTTGGGAAAGGGACAAAAGAAGGTACTCTGTAGTTTGGTGAGCATAGGGGGTATGTTTGTGAATGAAGAGTGTGTTTGGTCTGGGTTTTAACAACCTTTTGTGCTGACCTTCTCAATGTTAAGGGAGGAAAGTGGGGGACTTAGGGTTTGGGTTTTGTTTTTTAGTTAATTCAAAAGCAGAGAGAGAAACACAGAGCATACTGGTTGGGCCACTGTCCCTTCAGGTTTGGTACGTTGGTCAGTTATACTCTGCTCGGGTTAGAACTGCGATGTTCATTCTCTCTGTTCCTGCCTCTCTGCTCTGTGGGAAGTAAAGAATCAACAAAATGAGAGTTTAGCATTGTTCCCCTGCATGCCCAGAGTTCCCTGTCTTCCAAGTTCTTGGGGCCTTTGGGAAACTCGTTAGACAGAGAGCTAGGGAGGAAAAGGTAGAGACTTCCAGGAACTCAGTTCAGTTTCTGCCTTTTGTTAGGTCTGTAGTGCTGGCCCTTTGCCTGCTCTGTCCGCACGTCTGCCCCTCACTTGTACCATACTGATGTTCCTGGTCCCCTCACTGGGCTTGGAGAATGTATTAGTTACTTTTCCCATTGTTGGGACAAAATACCTGTGAAAAACAAGTTGAGGAAAGGGGTTTATTCTGACTCACAGTTTGAGGGTATAGTCCGTCCTGTCAGGAAGTCTTGGTGACACTGACGGAGTCTGGGGTGGCTGGTCTCACTACATCTGCAGTCAGGAAGCAGAGATAGGTGAATGCTGGTGCTCAGCTCATTCTCTCTTCTTTATACAGTCTGAGACTCCAGCCCTAGGAGGCACTGCCATATCCAGGGTGGGTCTCTCCTCCTCAGTTAAACCTCTCTGGAAATGCCCTCACAGACATGCCCAGAGGTGTGTCCCTTAAGTGGTTCTAAATCCAGTCAGGCTGATAATCAAAATTAAGTATCACAGGGGAGAATGAAGTGAAATGATGTCTGGGAAGTCTTTACTGGAAAAGATGAAAACTAGAAAACAAGATGTTCCTGAGCTATTATAGAAGTCCATGCACAGAAGGACTGTGATTGGATTAGTGAGTGTGACATTGATGATACTCAACTTCCATATGGCCTGCAATGAGCCAGCTCCAGCTTTCCATGAAACCACCAGGGAATAACCCAGCCATCCTCTTCTGCAGGTGTGGCACCATCAGTGGAAGCCTTTGATAAACTGATGAACGGTATGGTGGCCGAGTTCTTAAAGAACAGCAGGGTCCTTGCCGGTGATGTGGAGACTCACGTGAGTGCTTTTCTTCTCTGCCCAGAACCTCAGACAGCTCCAAGAGCCTGATGAGGTCTCCTTTGTTTACTTTTTACCTTGACCAGGCAGGCGATCACTAAGGCGTCATTTATTCGATCATTCATTTGTCTGCTGACAGCATGTAGAATTCTAGAAGCCAGTGGTTCAGCGATGAACATGACAGGAGGGTCCTGTGCCCTGCTCCAGAACTTTAACTTAACTTTTGGGAAGTAGAACACATATATAACTACATAACTAATTAAGGTAATGTAAGTATGCAAAAATAAATAAATAAGGAAACAAGCAATGATATGGAAAGTTCAAGAAGCAGGGATGTTTATATAGGGACTGTATTTCAGGAGGTGACATTGTGCGTGTGTGTTTTGCCTACATGTATGTAAGTGTACCTGTATCTGCAGTGCCTGTAGAAGTCAGAAGAAGGTGTTGGATCCCTTGGAACTGCGGTTGCGAAAGGTTCTTAGCCACCGTATGGGTGACTAAGAACCAAACCTGTATCCTGTTCAAGAGTAACCATTGCTCTTAACCACTAAGCCCAGGAGATGACTTTTGAGCAGAGATCTGGGTGGAGACAGGGAGCAAGTTGGAGGGTAACGTGGCGCACAGAGGTCCAGGTAGAGGGAAAAGAAAGAGCGATGGCCCAGAGGATGGAGCAAGCTGGCGTGTTCTCAGCAGAGCAAAAGGCCACTGAGGAGGTAAGTTAGGGAGAGAGATAGCTAGGACCCAGACCCCCATAGGAACTGTCAGTCACAGTAAAGGACTTGCACACTGAATGTGACAGGACACCATGTGGTAATAGGTGGAGGAATCAAGGTGACTTTTCTTGGTTTTGAAAAAGATCTCCCAACTGAGTTGAATCAGGCACCAGCCACCCTTCTTCCTTAAAGTCAGACTAAGGCTGTTGGCTAACACCTATTAGGATGTATCTACCATCAGAAAAAGAAACAGAAAGTAGCAAGTGCTGGGGATATGGTGAAATTGGAACGCTTGTGTGCTGGTGGTGGGGATGTAAAATGGCACATTATAGAAAATGGTTTGGCTTTTCCTCAAATACCAAGAACAGGATTACCATGTGATGCAGCCATACCACTGCTGAGTACACACCCAAAAGCCTGAAAGCCAGCTGTCAAAGTGGTATTTGTGCACGCAAGTCCAGAGCAGCACTATTCACAACAGCCAAGAGATGGAAGCAACTGAGGTATCCATCAATAGATGAATGTATCAAGGAAATGTGAGGGCTAGGTATGAAGGACTATTAGTCACCTCTGAAAAGGAAGAAAATCCTCTTATGTGCTATAAAATGGGTGAAATTTGAGGACATATGCTAAGGAAATAAGCCAAACCCATACAGTATGTGATTCCACTCCTATGAGGTATCCAGAGTGACTAAACTTACATAGAGAATAGAGTATGACTGTCTGAGCCTGGGGGAGGGCAGCAGTGAGGGATTGTCTAATGGTAGATACTGAGTTTCAGTTCCAGGATAAAAAAGTCCTAGCAATTTCACAGCAGTAGGAATGTGTTAACTGAACCATACACTTAACAATGGTACATGTTAACATGGTAACATGTTCTCCCCTTTCTTACTATTGTGTGTGAGCAAGTGTGTGTGCATGCTCATGTGTGCATGTGGGTGGTGTGCAGATGTGTAAGGATGCGTGTGGGACCAGAGGCCAACCAGAGGCCCAACCTTCCTTGGGAGCCACCCACCCTGTTTTTTGAGATAGGGTCTCTCACTGGGACCTGACAGACACTGAGTACGCTAGATTGGCCGGCCAGCAAGTCCCAGAGGTCTTCCTGAGTCCTCCTTCCCAGCACCAGGATAGCAACTGTGCACCCAGCACCAGGATAGCAACTGTGCACCCAGCACTGGGACCACAACTGTGAACCAAGCCTGGCTTTTTACATGGATACTGGGGATTGAACTTGTGTCTTTCTGCTTAGTGTGGCTAGCACTTTACCAACTAAGCTACATCCCTTTTCTTATTAATTTTCAAAGTTATCATTCAAAGTAATGGATTTCAATATGGCATCTTCATACCTTCACTATATTGTGTTCTAATTGTCCCTCTTGACCACAGTCCTCCCCCAGTCCCCTCTGGCTAGTCCCCTCCCCCAGATAGATGGCCCTTCCTTTGCCTTCCTTGGTATGTGTTTTCCATTAACCTGTCTTTCCCCACTTCCTTGCCATCTCTTCTGCCCCTCATGACCCCCTTTCTAGTTTCATGACCTACGCACACAGACACACACTCAAACACACAAACATGTATACATATACCGACACACCCCTACACAGAAACACACACTCACATGCACACACATATATACACACACCTACATAAACACACATATATACACACTAATATATACACGCATATATACACACACACACATACATACACACAATGACATATTTTTCTTATGTATATCTTACCATGATTTTTTTCAAATACAGGCTAGGGAAAAGAAAAATCATAAAATTTGGGAATTCCTGGGTTTGAAGAGACCTTCAAAGATGTGTACACCAGCCCACTAACTATAGACAGTTTTATACTTATTAAAATGTTGGCATCAACCCTGAAGTTAGCCGTAATTTACATGTGTTTCGTGAAAATGTAAGTTAGATAGATTAAAACAAGAAACACACTCCCAGGCGCCTTTCTCCTGGCTTTGTCTCAAAGGATTGAATTCCAGCTCAGTCTCCCTGTAGAGGCGCGATCTCCAGGCACAGTCATGGCCGAAGCACTTTCAGTGTAGATTCAGAAAAAAAGATGATGCTTGAATAAAGTTGTTTGAGGTTGGGGAGAACAATTGAAAAGGGTTCCTTTTGCTCCCTCCCCAGTTAGACAGCACATGCAACACCTAGCACTGGTCTTCGGGGGACCTAGTGACTCCATCCTGGAGGTTTCAAGCCTGTAATTAAATAAGAGTTCAACTCAGCATTGCACTGTGTTTGTCTGCCACAGCTCAGAAGCACAGGTCCTTCTGGTGACCTCCGCTGTTATGAAATATTTCTGTTGAAGTACTCACTGGTGGGAAGGTGGGAGCTCTGTTGTATTTGTGGTCTAGGAAAATGTATACAAAGACACCCACTTCCAATTTATTCCTTATTGACAGTGAATGGATCACAGTGCAGTAGGTACACTGACCTTATTCATATCTCTGTTGTTTTTGTTTCTATGAAAACTTGTGTACCGAAAGATGGTGGCTGGATTTCTTATATTTGCAGGCATGATCTCACCTGAAGCTAAATGCACAAAGAAATATTACTATAACCCTTGATATGAAAAAGAGGTGCTTGAGTGACTGAGGAACACTGTCAGGTTAATTCCTGACCCATGGCCATTAGTTACTGTTGACATTGTGCTTCTGGGACACCACAGTCCATGGAAGCTCTTGCTAACAACATCTCACAAAATCTTAAATAGAAGCCTTAACCGGGGCATTGTGAGGCTTAGAAATAAGTACTTAAGTTTGAATTTTTAAAAATATGTAAGGTTTGGGGCTGGAGAGATGAGTCAGCAGTTAAGAGCACTGGCTGCTCTTGTAGAGAATCCAGGTTCAATTCCCAGCACCGACATGGCAGCTAACAACTGTCCATAACTCCAGTTCCAGGGGCTCTGATGCCCTCTTGACCCCCATGGGCATTGCATATCATGGATGCACTTACATATAGGCAGGCAATACTTTCGTACACATAAAAAGTAAAAATAAATAAACTATTTTAAAAATATGTAAGGTTTGCAGAATAAGCCTTCAAATTGTATGGTGAACAGTCTCTTTAAAATTTTTTTAGAATAAGGATTTAATTGGATTTACATGAAGATGTTCTCCCTCTTCCCCACTTACTGGTTTTGAGTCCAATGAGCGAACATTCTCGAAAATGAATATGGGATGCTTTATAAGCTTTAGAATCTTCCTTAGATTTTTTTTTAATAGAAGGGAAGGGAGAAGGGGAAAGAAAAGGAGAAAAAGAAAGAAGAAAAGGAGAAGGAATAAAAAGAGGAGGAGAAAAAAGGAAGCAAAGGAGAGTGATCGAAAGGAAGAAAGAGAGAAACATTTGTCTTCTGAAAATTCAGACCCAGGCTCTTTAACACAAAGAAAAGCACAGGCAGCTATAGTCCATCTGCCTGTTGCTTTAATAATGGGAACAAGTAGTTTATTTTTGCCCCTCACAGAGCCATGTGTCACCGGAGTTAAGCTTGCAGCTGCTGCCTCTCCCGCAAGCCAGAAGTGGGGGTTGCACTTTGTTCCAAGAACACACCTGTTGCCTACAAAAAGAAAAGCCTGCATACCTGATTGTACAGTATGGAAATCTGAGAATGACACCAACGAGCATCGTGTTCAATCCTGTCCCGGGCTTAGCAGCTACTTCACAGATAGTAATAATGAATACGGGCAGCCAAGCCATGATTTAACGTCTGTCTCCATGTGCTGGCTGCTGGTAGGGCTTTAATTTACCAAACACTCAATAGTCTATTGACAGAACAGACCACAAAGAAGGGGGAACTAATAACGACAATTAGGACATTCTGCTGAACCTAAGAACATAACAGGTTTAGAAAAGATTAGATCTTGCAAAGCCTTCTTGTATGCAACATAAACCAAAGGGCTTATTTAAATTACTCATCTACCCAAGAACAATGACACAGTTTGTGCCTCCTTTATAAAAGAATAAACAATGCATAATTTTATCATAGACACTTAGGTAAATATGGTCCTCGATATGAAAAGAAGGGGTCCTCTGGCAATGAAGATGAGGTAACACCAAGGCCTTGGATCACGAGATCCATTAATAATGGACTGAGGTGACTTGTCTGCTCTGTTTATTTTGGCTTTTAACAAAACTGCTCTAGACCTGATGATGTAGCTTACTTGGTAGACTGTGTGGCCTAGCATGCACAATGCCCAGGTTTGGTCCCCAGCACCACATAAACCCAAAGTGGTGGTGCGCACCTGGAGTCAAACCCCAGCACTTGGGG